CAGGCTCACAGAATGCCAGAGCTGGGAAGGCTTGGGAGCCTCCACCCCAATTTCAAAGGATCTACGGAAAAGTCTGGGGGCCCAGGAAGAGATCCGTCACAGGGGCAGAGTCACCACAGACAGCCTTCGTTAGAGAAATGCCAAGCAGAAATGTGGGGTTGGAGTTGCAGCAGAGAAACCCCATCAGCACCATGTCTAGTGGAGCCGTGGGAGTGGGATCGTCACGGAGACCCCAGACCTGTGGAGCTACCAGAGTGGAACCCCAGCCTGGGAGAGGTGAAGTGTGGCCTGAGACCAGGAAAGCCACGGGAGCAGAGCTGCCCAAGGACCTGGGGACCCAACCCCACACCAGTGTGCAGAGGACGTCGAACGTGGAGTCCAGGTGCTTGATTTGCCAGCTTTGAGATTGAATGGCTGCCCTGCGGGTTTCGGGCTTGTTTGGGACCTGTCACCCCTTTCCTCTGGCCTATTTCTCCCTTTTTGAGTGGGAATGTGTACCCAATGTCTGTCCCACCACTGTATCTTGGAAGTAGATAACTTGTTTTGATTTTGCAGATGGGACTTTGAGACGTTTGACTTTTGAGTTAAAACAGGTTAAGACTTTGGAGATGGAATGAATGTATCTACCTGTGAGAAGGACATGAACTTTGGGGGCCAGGGGTGGGATGATATGGGCTGTGTCCTCCAAGTTTTATGTATTAGTAGCTTGGTCCCCACTGTGACTGTTAAGAAGATGGGAATCCTATTAAGGTAATTGAAAGGTGGGGCCTTGAAGAGGTGATTGGATTCCAAGGACCAAACAAGGTAAATCCTCCTCAGCTGGAGAGGCAGGAGCCCCCAGAACAGAGTAGAGCCTGGGGCGCCCCCCTCAGTGCCCCCCAGGAGTGTGACATCAGCAAAGATCACCCTTTGTCACCCTTTGTCACTACAGGACATCTCTGAGCCTCAGTTTCCCCTTCTGTAGAATGGGAGAGATAAGCAGGAGGAACGGCTGCCGGGGTGCAGCACGCAGACCGGTGTGCGGGGAGCTCCAACAGAGGCCCCCGGAGCTCAGCAGTCCTCAGCTGCCCCGACCCTCCCTGATCTCAACAGAAACCCCAAAGGTTCTGTCTGGGGGACACAGCCACAGCTGGGCACCCGAGCTCACACCTCCCCCATCCCTGAGGTGCCCTCAGGTCTCCCAGTGGAACATTTTTGACATGCTCTAAACCATCAGCAAAACAAGATGAAAATTTAGTAATTGCTCTTGGCAGGGAGTCCTCAGGCCAGAACAAGGGTCAAAAATAACCCAGGGGAAGTTTCCCAAGCCACCTGCAGCCCTGGGGGCTCTGTCTGAACATGAGGCAGGAATGGTCTTGGCCTGACCCTGCTGCCAGCTGACCAGGACAAAGGGGAGAGATGGGCAGGGACTGGGTGGGACAATGGGACAGAGTGACTTGGCACACTTGAACCCAGAAGCGTCTAGCCATCCAGAAAGGTGTAATATCAGACTTGAGCAGGAAAAGCAGCTGCCACGCTACCTAGCGGCCCACAGATGGTTGGCCGAGTCCTGGGAGAGGGTGTTGGCTGAGCTGGGAAGGTACAGACACCAGGCTGGCAGGGCGGGCACGGGTCTGGCCGGCCAGGGGATACTCACTTGCAGCCCTCACCCCCCTCCCACCCACAACAGCGGGTGTGGGGGAACGTGAACCCCAGGAGTTATAGCCCAAAGTCAATGCGTACCTGGGCAGTGTCGGGGGACCTGGTCTGACCCTTCCTTTATGCTGGATGGGGAGCCCGGTGGGGAGGGAACTCACCTCACCAGGTCAGAATCAGGCCCTGCGTCCACATGCCAAGCAGCCACCTCCTGTCCTCCGGGCCTCGGATCCTTGCCTGTAAAATGAGGCTGTAGAGAGACGGTCCAGTGAAGCCACGCCCGTTACATACGCTGGACGTCCAGGCTCGGGCTGAGCCGGTGCCAACCTCACAGCTCGAGGAGGACAGACCGCACAGTGAGGACTCGGCCCCTGGTCATTGGGCCACCCTGCAGGGACCCCAGAGCAGGGAGCACAGGAGCCACCGTGTCCTGAGGAGGGGCTGAGGGGCCAGTGGAGGGACGATTCAGGCTCACCTTCCTTTTCCTGTTCCTTCTTTGTGCCCCTAAGTGGGATGCACTTAATGCATAGGGCTTGGTGGAAACCCCATGAAGGTCCCCAGGAGTGTCCCACGGGGGGTGTCCAACCATGTCTTTGATGTAAAGGCAAAAAGAGGGGCCCCACCAGGGCCTGGCTTCCAGGACTGACTTCGCCTGCAGGAGAATCCTCTCCCCACGTCATTCTTAAGACGAAGGATCAAGGCTGGCCAGGTGCTCAGGTGGTTAGAGTGCGGTGCTGATAACACCAGGGTCCAGGGTCTGACCCCTGTACCAGCGCCTGCAGGAGAATCCTCTCCCCACGTCATTCTTAAGACGAAGGATCAAGGCTGGCCAGGAGCTCAGGTGGTTAGAGTGCGGTGCTGATAACACCAGGGTCCAGGGTCTGACCCCTGTACCAGCCAGCCCCCAAGACAAAAAAGAGAAGGGTCGAGGTCCCCCCCGTGCACCTGTGCACCTGCCATCTGCGTGCCTGCTCCTCTGCCTCGTCTCCTTGGGCCCCAGGAGAGAGGCCCCCCGTTTCATCACCCCATTCCCATCTCCCCACAGGCCTGTGATCTGAGTGTTAGGGGCTGTTTTTCAGTCTCACCTTAAGGAAGACATTGAGGGTGGAAGAAACACGGTGACCAGCGCAGGGCCCCATGGTTCTAGGTTGCACTTGGTCTTAGATGAGTGTGCAGCTCTCAGCAGGGAGCCAGGCCAGGCAGGTCCCCAGGCTGCCCTCCTACCCGACTTGGTCTTAGATGAGTGTGCAGCTCTCAGCAGGGAGCCAGGCCAGGCAGGTCCCCAGGCTGCCCTCCTACCTGCGTCCTCCTCCTCTGCACTGATGAATGGTCTCTGTCGGGAGGCGGCCGTGCGGCAGCAGAGCTAATTGTCCTGAGAGCGCCCTGCACACCTCTGAGGGCAGTGCCTCAGTGCCTCTCTCGGGTGCGGTAGGGAGGAGGGTGTCTGCTCCGGAGCCCACCCGCGTGCCAGCCCTGAGAGGTGAGGAGGGGCTGACACGCATCAGGAGTGCATGGGGCTGCCGCCGCAGAAACCAGCCTGCACAGCTCCCCCGAGGCATCCAGGCTCAACACCTCCACCTGAGGACCTGGCTCCTGCCTCATCCCCGCCTGCCATCTGAGCCCAGGCCCTCACTTTGCAGCTGCAAGGGGCTGCTGCACCCCTGGGCAGGGGAAAGAGGGTGGCACCCGCAGTGCTTTCTGTAAGACTGTACCTCTCTGATCGGGAAGACTTGCCCCGGCCCTCTTGTCTAAACCTCATGGTCACAGCCAACTCGCACAGCAGCCCTGCTCCAGGGCAGGCTGGAGGGTCACGTGTTTTGAGTTAGGCATATTGCCACCCCCAAACAATGTTAGGGTCCTTTTAGGGAGGGAGCAGAAAAGGATGGAGGCAGCAGTGTTGCCCTACAAGCCCCGCTGATGGTCAGAAAATGATACTCAGAGGTCGAGTAACTTTCCCAAGGTCACATGACTAGAGAGGACAGAGACACACGTCGAATCTGCATCCATCTGTCCCCCAACCTGCTGCCCTTAATGACGATATAAAACAGCCTCTTCCCCAAAGGAGAGACTTGCCTCTCCCCTCTGTGGGCCACTTTACCCTCGCCTTACAGACACCCACCAGCTCACCAGCAGGCGGGTGGAAAGGAGGCCATTTCCCACACCGACCCTACCTGCTATAGGGGCCACACAGTTAACCATGCACTTAAAAAAATATAAAAATTGTTCTTAGCTTGTGGCTGTACAAAAACAGACATAGTTTGTCAACCTCTGGTTTAGAAGAAATAACATCATAAATAAATAACAAGTCAACATAAAGCTATGCTCTCTTTCTCTTTAAAACGTTTTTTCCCTAATTTCAGAATTAATATATGCTCAACTATAGAAAACCGGTTAGGTCAGTTGTTTAGAGAGCAGCCTTATAACACCAAGATCACAGGTTTGGATCCCCTTTACTGACCAGCCACAAACAAAACAAAACAAAAACGAAAACACCCCAAAAACTGGGAGAATATAAAAGTATCAAGATAGAAATAATATTCAATAAATAGGTCATGGGGTGGCTGGTTAACTCAGCTGGTGAGAGCATGGTGCTGATAATACCAAGGTCCAGGGTTCAACCCCTGTACCAGCCAGCTGCCCGCCCCCACACAAAAACCCCCATAAAAATAAATAAATAAATAGGTCTTAAAGAGCTGGGGAGTGAAGCCACCAGTGAATTCAGGGCTGGAGAGGGACTGGGTCCTGCAGACATATCTGAGCACCTGGATACAGCCATACCTGAAGCCAGCCTGCACCCCACAGTTTTGGTTCTGGGAACCTTCTGTGTGTTCTGCGGGGACTTGTTCAGCATGGATCCCAAAGAACCAGCCAGATGCCCCTATGATGGCAACCCCCCATGCACTCACCTGCCTGCTTGCAGGAGAAGGCAAAGACGATGATGTCATCAAAGGACCAGGTGTAGTTGGGGTGGGGTGGGTAGAACGCCAGGTTCTGGGACGCCACCTTCTGCAGGCCAATGAGGAAGGTCGAGTGCACCATGGGAACCGTGAAGCAGCCCCGGCGGTCCCGCTTGCGGATGGGGATGTAGGCGGGCGTGCGCCTGTAGTAGCCCTGCAGGGAGGGCACAGAGTTCTGCAGGGGGGTCCCCAGAGGTGAGGCTGGAGGTCCACAGCAATGGGAGGCATGAAGAGCTTGGAGAGCAAGCGCCGGGTGCCAGCCTCCGGGTTCGATGGGAATTCCCTGAGTGCCAGGCTCTAGGCACCACCCCCAGAGCCTCAGCTGAGGGACAGTGGCAGACGAGGAAGGGAAATGGGCCCCTGGAAGACCCAGCTCAACACTTCAGATCAGATAGGCAGCGTTTGAAGGAGGAAATTCTAAAGCTGAAAAAGAAACTGGACATGTGGGATTCTTCGACTGACACAGAAACTCAAGGTCAGAAGCATGATTTCGGGGTTGTCCACTTAGCTCAGTTGGTTACAGCCAGCCTTATAACCCCAAGGCCACAGGTTCTGATCCCCATTCTGGCCAACTGCCAAAAAAAAAGAAGCATGATTTCAAGAAAGTGGGGAAAATCTCGCAGGAGAGTTTTAAAAGCTTCTGGAACAATCTGGGGTTGGTTTTTCTCCTCCTTATGCCTTTTATAAATTGGAATTGTTAGTGTATAACATCTAGATTTATATGACATTGTAAAAAATGTTTAAAACCATTGAATTATTTACTTTAAAATGATATATTTTGTTAATTTCACCTCAATTAAAAACAACAACAAAAAACAAAGGTCAAGGGTCTGGATACAAAACGAAACAAAAAAACAAAAACATAAAAACCAGTAGGAGACAGGACAGGTCAGTGTCCTGGCTCCAGCCACCCAGCCCCCTTCCCCTGGCCAGGGACCCTGCCCCACCCCTTCACTATCCCCTGCTTTGCCTGTGACTTCAGACTCAAGCCTGGGGTGGAACTTGTCCCCAGGCCTGGCCAATCAGAGCCTGCATTTTCCTGACTTCAGTGACTGGTTCAGGGGTAGACAGGAGACTGGAAATGGCCTAATCAGAGTGGACGTTGGCCAAGTGCTGCTGGGATCATTCCTGAGCAGTCTGAGAATGAAGCCACCCAAGTGATGGAAAAATGATAGTTGTTTGAACACCTGGACCAAGCCATGCCTGAAGTCCCACCCTGGCACCTCCTAGCTGCATGAGTTTAGGCAAGTCATTCCCTCTCTGCACCTGGATCAAGCCATGCCTGAAGTCCCACCCGGCACCACCACTTACTAGCTGCATGAGTTTAGGCAAGTCATTACCTCTCTGCATTTCTGTTTCTGCTTAAGGACTATGGTGAAGGCATCTGTAAAACACTCACCGCACTAGGCTCCAGCCACAGCACCTACTTACCCAGCCCCCGCCACCCCCAGCCCTCTGCCCTACCTGGGAAGTCATTCCACACCAGAAGTTGGAACAGGCAGCCCGGGAATCCAGCATGGGAGCCACCACCGTCTTGTTCTCTGTGATATCAGGGTTGAGGATCGGGTTGTCTGCATCCACAAACTGCAAAATGCCCGATACGGCATCAGCATGGGCTGCCAGAGGGACCCCGGGTCAGGCAACAACTCTGAGCAGCTGGGGCAAAGGCCAGAGTCTTGGAGGGTCGGCAGAGACCCCTGGAAGCCCCATGGCTCCTCAATCAATGGCTATGCCCTGAAGAGCGAGCCAGGTCACATTCACACAAAGAAAGA